AGAGGCTTTTAATTATTGACCACCAGATTCTTTTTTAGCAGACGTGAATTGCACTGAATTCCGACCCGTCTGAGGCAGGCAACACCACAGCACCAGCCATATGTGAAAACTAATCTCAAAGAAAGGGACTTCTAATTTGATATTGTCGCTGGTTATGATCGATGAATCAGTGATTGATTGGATGGGTTAACATAGAAGGCTGTAAAGTTCTATGAGGGGGTTTAAAGGTTGAAGTGCTATGGTGTTTAGGGGAGTATCTAATCGACGGTATAAATGATTAACGTACAAATGCCTTAATTAAGTGTCCTACCCCATCATTCGTTTTTTATGTTTTATATTTGGCAAAAATATTGCTCTCGTCTCTCATTTTGTAGCAGATATCTTTCTTTTAAACTGTAGAAAAAAAAAATCCCTTTGTGGGATGCAATTTTGAGTTATTTTGAAGCCCCACCCTGGCTTTTTCCGGGGGCATTAAATATAACCGGGCCATAAATATGGCCTATTGGTTAAACGGGGTTTCCTGGACCTTTCCACGGGTGTTCTTCATCCGCATGATGGTACTTTATGTCACCGGGTGTTTATCGCGTTGTATAATGTCCTGGTGGATTACAACTTACATACACATATACATCTTTCTTTTGATAGTTAAACCCTGTCATTTGATAGTCAGGATTAACTGTGATAATCTCTCAGCACAATGTGAAAACAAGATGGTATCACTTGCTTATCTGAGTTCTTACACACGATATTCACCACCTATAAATTAATCAAACACTATCACATGTTTCATCATTTTTGACAGTTTTCACTATTACTCTAAAGGTATATATAGCTTAGTTAGTATATAGCTTAGTTTATCAGTTATCTCCTTGTAGGATGCAATTTTTAGTTATTTTGAAGCCCCACCCTGAATTTTGCCGGGGCCCTAAATATAGCCGGGCCTTAAATATGGCCTAACGGCTAAACGGGGTTTCTGTGACCTCTCCACGGGTGATCCTTATCCACATGGTGGCACTTTGGTGTCATCGGGTGTTTATCGCTTGTGTGAAGTCCTAGTGGGGTAAAAGAAGATAGATAGATAGACAAACAAAGCGCTCAGGATTCAGGATTCATAAGAACAAAAATTCCAAACTTGTGACTTCTTTCAGCTGCCTGACGGCTTGCTATATCGAAGTCGGTTCAATGGTGGTGTGATTTGTATTTCTTCCTTGCGGCGAACATTTTCGCCTGAGTTTTCTTGCATTTGTTGCGTTCTTGTTAGCAGTGTGAGCTTGGCGGGCGGCTTGCAGGTTTAGGGAGGGGACATGGCTGTCCTGAGAAGGACAGCCATATGTGCCGGGTGGCCTGGAACGGGATGGGTGGGAGTGGTCAATCTGGTTTACTGGGCTTCGTCGCGTCAGTGAGGTTGGCTAGTTCCACGGAGACTGGGTGTCATGGCGGCTTGGAGGTTTTCGATTGGCTGCTGGCTTCGTCTTGTTTTGGTGGCTTGTCAGTACTTGCGGTTGCGTCGGTTTGGTGTACCCTGAGTCCTTTGTTTCCATCTTGCATGGGCCAGCTGTTTTCGGGCTGCTTCTATCTGGTCCTGGAGTCCGTTGATTTTATCAAAGAAGGCTTGCCTTTCCACAGCGGGCAGCAAGTAAACTTTCTCCAGCTCTGGCTCGTCATACACGATATCGTAGCGTTTTCTATTCTCGAGCCTGTGTGGGTGGTTCAGTTTGTTAAAGCTTTCTACCACTTTTAGAAGGTCAGCCTCGCTTTCCACCTTTATGGCTACCGCCTCTTTGTCTCCTTCAGGAATAGTGGCCTCATCTGCGGTTGGGGTCGCCTCTGTAGCTTCGGACACGGCTTCTTCAACTGGCTGGACAGTGCCTCCCTCATCGGTTTCTGTTTCTGTACTTTTGTCGGCCCTGCTGATGTTTGGGTTTGCGGCTGGTGCCTTGCTTCTCTCTGCTAGTAAGAGTTCTCGTTCTTGTTTTGCCTCTCGTGTAGCTGCTTCTGCTGTTGTTTTTACTAGCAGGGCGACTTCTCTGTACGCGGACTCTCTGGCTTCGTTAAGTAAGGCCGTCTCTGCCTTTCTTTCTTCTCTCTCGGCTTGTCGGTAGGCTGCCGCCTAGTCCTGTTCCGTTTTCAGCTGTGACAGAAGGCCTTGTAGTTTTTTGCTTGCTTCATTTACTTCTGCTAGCAGCTTGGTGTGGTGTGCAGCTTCTGCTATTCTGTCTCGCTTCTGGGATTTGACTTCTTCGAGTGTTTGGGATATTAGTCCCAGCATCTCAAGTCTTTCAGCGGTGGCCTTCTCTTTGTCTGCTGTCAGCTTCTGGACTGCGGTTTTGAGTGCTCTCACTTCCTGGGTTGTCGCGTTGTTGTTAGCGACTGGAATCACTTTCTCTGGTCTTCTCTCACTACTTGGAATTGCCGCTTGCTGCTTGCACTTTTTTAGGTAGGTGCAGCCCATGTATCTGGCACTGTGGCCCTCCACAGTTTGAACACCTTCTGCTACTGTTAGGCTTTTTAAAGTCGGGGTCCTTCTTGGCAAGTGGGCACTCCTTAAAGTCGTGCGGCTTAGAGCAGTAGCGGCATGCTGGGCTGTTGCGGCAGTGTGCGGCTGTGTGCCACGCCTTGTTACAACGTGAGCACTGGATGATGTTGTTGCTGCTGAGGGCTCCAGGCTGCTGTCTACGTAGGCGGGTGCCGGTAGGTTCCTGCGCCACGACTGGGGCGGCTTCTGGTGCTGGCGCCACGATAGGGGCGGCTTCAGTTGGCGTAGGTGTGCGAGGCGCCGCGATAGGGGCGCCTGCCGGTGAGGCTGCTGATGTGGCCATCCTCTTTCTTGGTGTGGGTGCGGCTGCTTGTTGTTTTTCCATGACAGGAAAATCAATGATGGGCAAATGCGGTCTGTGGCGAAAGCTAGGTCCCTTCGGAGTCGGCAAGGCTTGTTAGAGTATCCTAAAAAGGACACCCAAGCGTGCTTTCTCCTTAGTTCTCTAGCAATCGTTCAAAAAACTGGCGGGTATGGCTGGCTCTTCAAAAATGCTGTGCTCCCGGGCCGCTAATAACCCACCCGCAGACGAATAACAATAGCTTAGTCGAGCCAAAACTCAGCCGGGCGGTATATCGAGCGAGCGAGCGAGCGAGAGCTGTGTGCGGCTTGGCTGTCAGGCTGCGACTGTGCTGATGAACAAAGCGCTCCAGTATGGGTCGCAATCTTTCCTCAAAGTCCCACATTAGTGAATCCTAGTAGAGGCCTACCCCGATATATTTTACCTGTGTGTAATCAACTATAGAGGATGTCTTTGAGGATTCATCTCCATCCTTCGAGTCTGTCCTTGAGGATTCATCTCCATCCTTCGAGTCTGTCCTTGAGGATTCATCTCCATCCTTCGAGTCTGTCCTTGAAGATTCACCTCCATCCTTCGAGTCTGTCCTTGAGGATTCATCTCTATCCTTCGAGTCTGTCCTTGAGGATTCATCTCCATCCTTCGAGTCTGTCCTTGAGGATTCATCTCCATCCTTCGAGTCTGTCATTGAGGATTCATCTCCATCCTTCGAGTCTGTCCTTGAGGATTCATCTCCATCCTTCGAGTCTGTCCTTGAGGATTCATCTCCATCCTTCGAGTCTGTCCCGGCTGACTGAGAGTTAAGAAAACTGTGAAGTCCAAAGAGGATATGGGCAAGTACACAGCTTTGCCTTACTCTGTTCTTTATTGTAAAATCCTCTAACTATACACCAGCAGATTTGATTGTGCGTCTGATGCCTGTGGGGTATGACTCAGTGATTGATGCTCAGTAGGGCTCTGTGTATTGGCTACTGGGTTAGGTTCACGTTCATCTCCCCAAATAGATTAGGTCACTTTTCATTTACAAGTTTGTTAGGCTGGTCGACTTTCCTGAAGGATACTGGCTTGTACCGCTCTGTTTTTTCGCTCTCTGTGATGTCTTGTATTTACGTTTTCATTCCGAGAAAGAGAATGCCTGTGACATAGATTGCAGCACTCTCTAGGGGGGTTGTGTTAGGACCAGTTTCTCCATGTTTTTTTTGTTTTTTTTTGTTAGATTAAAAGCGGCGGCGTGCTGAAATAAACAACACATGATATCAACGGCATTGCGGAACACTCCCGTAACCTTGTGCGAAGGTGACAGGTTTAGGAACTACCAATCATAAGTAAGCTAGTGTGTATATGGGCGGGGCGTGGGGAGATTAACGTTACTTTTACCGACTACTGTTATACGGTAGCTCACTCATATCTGACCAAGACCCGACTACGTCTGAACACCTTTTATATATGTATAACTGACACAGCTGCGTGTACACACAGGTCTGAAACACATCCTGAACACCTATTATATATGTATAACTGACAAAGCTGCTTGTACACACAGGTCTGAAACACATCCTGAACACCTTTTATATATGTATAACTGACAAAGCTGCGTGTACACACAGGTCTGAAACACACCCTGAACACCTATTATATATGTATAACTGACAAAGCTGCTTGTACACACAGGTCTGAAACACATCCTGAACACCTTTTATATATGTATAACTGACAAAGCTGCGTGTACACACAGGTCTGAAACACATCCTGAACACCTATTATATATGTATAACTGACAAAGCTGCGTGTACATACAGGTCTGAAACACATCCTGAACACCTATTATATATGTATAACTGACAAAGCTGCGTGTACATACCGGTTTGAAACACATCCTGAACACCTATTATATATGTATAACTGACAAAGCTGCGTGTACATACAGGTCTGAAACACATCATGAACACCTATTATATATGTATAACTGACAAAGCTGCGTGTACATACAGGTCTGAAACACATCCTGAACACCTATTATATATGTATAACTGACACAGCTGCGTGTACATACAGGTCTGAAACACATCCTGAACACCTATTATATATGTATAACTGACACAGCTGCGTGTACATACAGGTTTGAAACACATCCTGAGACGTAAGATCAGTGCCACTCTACACCACATGGACCTTGACCAGAGTGAGCCGGAGTTTGCTGTGTCTGTCTTGGCCATACCAACAGGTGGGTTAGCTACTCTTCGCTTTGAGTATGTAAAGTAGATAGAGGACCCTTGTTACGCAAATGGTGTATCAGAAATATGATGCTGGGGTCGTATTTGTATTCAAATAGATCTGTTGGTGCTAGTTGCGTGATGTAGTCAGAATCATTGACGTCGTTGCTTCCCAGTCTTGCCTTAGTAGACTCTTGGACTGTTAGTAGATAGTAAAGTAAAGGACCTTTTTCCATGGCTTCAGGCATGTTGGCATATTGTATCGATCACTCAGAAAAAGGTGGGTGATGGGGTCAACATCACACCGTCGCCTTTACTTCCCATGACTTTACCTGGTACCCATTTAAGGTTGGGTTAACCTGGGAGCCAAGGTAAGTTTTGAAAAAAAAAAGTCTGGCTTCGTCAGGGTGTATTATACAGTGCAGATTTGATAAGGAGAATTCACCGAAGACCGAAGAAATTGTTCTTCTTATCAGAAATTCCTCTTACCCTGAGAAGATTCAAGACATGAAAAATTGCCGGGGATAAACAGATTGCTCTTCACAAATGAAATTTCGCCACGTCTGAGATCGCCTTAAGTGGTCTGCGCTGTAGTGGTTAGAGCCGTGTATTTCAAGACAGACGTCACGGTGCAGGTCCTATACGAGGCAGCGATATCTTCCATTTCAGAGAAATGGGAAGGATAGAGGACTTTGAGGGCAGTGAATCCACATCTATCGCTGAGGGGAGGATCGGAACACCTATGGACATGTCTGGAGTGCAATGATGATAACCCAACTAACTGACTAACTAGCTAACTAACTAACTAACTGACTGACTGACTGACTGACTGAACTAACTAACAAATTTATTCCATTAGTACGGCTCTGTGGTCGATTCAGTCTCGTGAACATAAAACGGATCCGCCCCTCCCCCCCCCCCCCAATCCTAGATCGTTATCTCAAGGTTTGACACCCTTGGATTACAAAATTTCAATCCGGATGGCACACAAACAGGCCAAATCTATGATACCCCTGCAACCCCAAAAGAGAAGCGACCAGGAAGGAAACTAGTCATCACAGCCCTTATGTCATGACCTAGGATGTGTTGAGACCTAACATCTGACAACCCAACTGTCACATGGGTTACGGGGTCTAAAGGTGGGGGGGGGGGGGGGAGAGAAAAGAATAGAACAACTGCTTCCACAACATGCTTGCCGTAACCGTGGATTAATAAGTTTTTTTTGTTTTGTTTTCGAAGACGAGAAACCAACAGACTGCATAAAAAAGGAGCCTGGTTTGTTAAACAGATGTGCAAGCAAACTCAAGTTCTTGAAGAAGACTAAAGTCCAGAAGTGGACTAACAACCAGAACTTTCTGCCAGAGTTTTACAGATGGTTAACCGAAGAAGAAGAAGAAGAAAAAGAAGAACAAGAACAAGAACAGGAAGAAGAAGAAGAAAAAGAAGAAGAAGAAGGAGAAGAAGAAGAAGAAGAAGAAGAAGAAGAAGAAGAAGAAGAACAAGAAGAAGAAGAAGAAGAAACACATCCCAACAATCGCATCTACTATCAGGCTAGCGTTAAATACCTTAGCTTGGAATAAAAGTAATGGGAAGACAGTAGTTAAATACCTGGATGGCTAGGCCATATGGCATGACTGGGTCAAAAACACATATATTTCTGGAAGTTGAGAATAGTGTGAAACTTAGCGCTATTGCACTGATGTTGATGGGCGTGCAATGTGTGTCAGTCGACAGACATGCTACTGAAGATAGTTATAGAAAAAGAAAACTGGAAAGCAGGATTAAGCAGTCTATCATTACCAGAAGTAAAAAACAGGCCTTTATCTTTTAATTCATTGATTACAACACAAAGACTTATGATAGAGTAGGATAGGCTGGCATGATAAAGGTCCTTACAAGTCTACAAATTAATCGGGGAGACCTCTTGTTCATTAAAAATATTTATTGGGAACAAAATGCTGCCATAAAAATCAGTAATGTAGGTCAGTACTAGCCAATTAAGAGTTGACATCGAAACCTGGTACAAAGAGGATAATAAAATGCGTTCACTGCACCTTGATATCTCTGTTTGAGGTTTTGAACAACGGATCATACCATGGCACACGGGTAGTAACCCATAAGTGATCCGTTCTTCTTCTAACTCAAGCCTGACTTCGAAGAAGCTCAGCACAGTGCACAGGCTCTGTAGCACCGGTGAGGATCCTGAAATACTTAGGTAGATTTTTAACTCTAAACTTTGCCCGGGCAGCGCCATTATGTTACTCTTTTCGATTTCCAACTGCCAAGATATTTTTTACGTGCTCAGCAATGCACACGGGCGTCCGATCTCACTACCCAGAGACCAGAGAGAATTACTGGAAGTCTAGGTCCACGTGAAAAAATTCCAGCCCTTTCCGGGGATTGAACCTGGAACCACTAGAACTCAAAGCGGATACCATGCCTTGAGACCACGC